TCCGGATTTGCACTGCATCAACTGAAATACAGCGGTGTTGAACAAGTGCTATAGGATCAAAATCTTGTTGTTTTGAGCAAAGATTTCCTGGTCCTAGGAGATCCTATATGCTGAAGATTCCACCAGCACCAGCCGCTCCCTTTCCAAGGTGTTAGCTCATCCTTGCTGCCCACATTCCCAAACTAATTTTTATTGTGTCCCTTGCTCCTCTGGCAGGCTTGGACTCTGCTGCTGCTTACGTTTCATTTTCTAGGTACTTAAAAATATAGCAAAGGTTTTCTTACTCTTATGGCAAAGACAGACTACACTCACCAAAAATCTTGCTGAAGATTCAGCTTTAGTTATTTTCCCCTTTTTTTCCCCTGTAGAAATAGAAAATTCAAGGGTGTTTTGCAGTTTTATTGGCTCCTTTAGGACCACTTACATCTTCCTAGAATTTTTTTTCTAACTTTACCAACAACAAGAAAGGAAAGCCTCCCTCACACACACATTTTTTTTCTTTCTCATTTTCAGTGATCCAGTATCATTTGACCTTTTTCTACTCATAACAGCCAGACTACCACTGCTCATCACAGGAGCTGGAGTGTTTCCTGCTACTGGGGTAAAAAAATTCCCCACCCGCGAGCTGGAGCACCTTTGGCAGCGGGGCGCGGGGGTGATCAGGCTGTTGTCAATAGACCAGGGTTAGAAAATTGTGTTGGGCTGGAGGAAGATGGGAGGGAGCTGACCCCCGGCAGCCACCCACCCCTGCATCGGGCCAGTGACCTGGGATAAACGAATCCCCCTCATCAGTCCACCCGCGCCAGGTGATACTGGTGAGCCCAGGACCTAAAAGATGGATTGCACCGATTTCAACGTGACATGTGTTAGAAAACCTGAGGGTTCCTGGAAAGCTGAACAAAATTTGTAGCAAAATAATCTGAACAATCCAGTCACAATCCACCCAGAGTGCTACTCTCTTGAAACTACTCTTGAAAAAAATTCAATGGGTTACTCGAGTCACGAATAATTAGATTTTCCTCTTGGTTACCCAGATAAAAGGAAGAGTGCCCTCATTTTAGAAGGTAAAAAGACAGTCCTGGAAATTAACTCCTAAGTCACGAAAATCAGTTTATTCTGATTTGTTCTTGTGCAGTAGTTCAGGTTTAGTAAGCATCACCGCCCGCTGTGCTTACCCCCTCCTGGAGCGATCATGCAGAACAACGAGCTCCCTTTCTAGACTTAATGGCACTGCACAGACGAAGTCTGAGGCTTTTAGGGGCTTTTTTTCAGTCTTATCTCACATGAGCACCTCCTCACCTCCTTGGTGGCCTCTGGCGATGGGTCTGCACTCCCCGGGTCCGGCTGCCACCCCAGCACCTCGCTCAGGTGAGCTCCATCCAAACCTATTCCCAATGAGGTCTCGCCAGCGAGGCAACGGCGGGGAGGCTCGTTTGGCTGTCCTCGCCGTGTCCTGGGGAAGGCACTCTGGAGTGTGCACCCCAGCGTACGGAAATTGAGACATGCTGCAAAAAAGAAATAACTAAATCTGGAAAAGATGTATTTCCTGAGAAAAATGACTAACTCTGACCATGTAATGGATCTAGCGCTTTGCAACGTTCCCTGAAGAAACTCAGAGCTGTGCATGTGCTCTGTAAGCGAGCGGTGCGGACCGATGCTGCCTCCAAAGCTGCTCTGCAGTGGTGCTGGGGCGTATGTGTGACCGCACAGGGGATCCACCCTGGACTCACAAAGCTTTTATTGCCTGGCACCCACTATATACCATTAATATATGCTGCTCACACCTTTGTGACTGTAATTCTTGTGGCATTTCCCAGTCAGCCATGAAGGTCTCCCCAGCGACCGGCTGAATTGGTGCAGAGGGCGGCACCGCACAGGGCTTCCCTGGGGAACCACCACCAAACCAAGCATCAGGCCTGCTCTTTCTCCCAGTGCTGCTGGATTTGGCATCGGGGATAAGCCTCATTTTTCAGTGCCTGGAGGCAAGACCACCTCTAACCTCCACAAAAGCAGCCTCACCCAACCGTCTGCAGGACACATGGATGGACCTTGAACCAAGCTTTTGGACCCACCAAAGGCACTTGCAACCTTCAAGGCCTTCCTGACTGTAGAGGAGTTATATCTTATTGAAGTAATCTGATTATAAACAACAATAGTTAGAATATTAAGGGCTATTATGTGCTATATACCATACCAATCTAAAGGATAATGTGGCAAAGCAAAAAGCACCTAAATCCATCTCAGACTTTACTAAAAAGTTGAGATCGTTTTCTTTGACGTCCTAGACATGAACGCTAATTCATTTATAGGCACAATGCTAATGTGTGTATTTTGACAATTTGTATACATGGAGAAAATGGTATACACATAAGGAGGATGTAACTGTTCCCATCAACTCCTTGGGAGTTTTCTGCGTTACACACAGGATACACAAACGCTGGCAAAAACGATTTCTATACAAGAATGGGAGAAGGTAGCGTGGCGGACGGGCTCTGCCATCGTCTGAGGAGACTGCTGATGAGCAATGAGAAGCAGCTGCTCCCGGCAAAGTCATTTTTCTTAAGTGTTAATAACAAGAGAGCAGAATGTTTTAATTTGAGGCACCTGAAGTGAGATTAGGATTTGTTAAGGGTATTGTGAAATGAATAGTCCATAAAACATTATTTGGGATGAGATTGCATGCTTCGACAAACCTGAAGTGCTTCTCTGAAGGTATTCTACCTCAGTGACTATCAGCAGTTTACACTACAATGTGCCTTAATACGCACATTTCCTTCTGGTGTATCATGGGGCTACTTGTGTTTATTTTAATAGTCCTCCATTTTAAATATAAGAAAACAGAGTCCAACACTGAGGCTTTCTAGCAGATAGGTATCACCCCTGGCACTGACCACTTCTTGTGTTTCACAGCATGTCCCAAGAAAATCAAACACATTCTCCATCCACTATCGTACATCGTGACGAGGACTTCTGACATTGTCAGGAAATGCTAAAATCAAGGAGAATCCCCAATGTAGTAATACCTGATTTTATTAATATTTGAACTAGAGGATGGCAGTGTAGGGTCCAGATACCCACACACATTGAAAGCAGAAAGCAACACAAGGGGTACAAGCAACTGACACAGAAGAGCTTTCAGTCATAACAGCAAGATCTCACTGCTTTTCTGCATCTTCCTTTTTCTTCTTTCTTAACAGCAAAATTTGCAAAACCTTACCAAACCCCCTGTGAAGTCAGTCTTTGGGTTTGCTGAAAGACCAACACCTTTCCTGGGTCGCTGCTGCCTGCTCCCACCCGACGGGAACAGCTTTTGTCTCTGCCCAGTCCACGCAGGACTCCCGAGTCACACAGGGGCCAGCAAACCAGGCTCTTCCAGCGGTGGGAAAATAGCCACTAAATGGAGTTGTCAGGGAGCGGCTATCACAAGTCTCACAAGCCTTGTAAAATCCACTGGCACCTACCAGCTCGCTCAGTCCCGAGTGCCACCCTCGCTCGCAGAGGCCAGGCAAAACCGGCAGCGGCTGTCTGACCGGGTAATCCCAACGCAGCAGCACGGCTCCTCACTCACACCAACAGCAACTTTGGGGCAGATCTTGCTCTCATAGAAATAATTGCAATTTTTTTCATACGGACGTTTGAAACCCTATATACTTCCTAAAACACACGTTACGTTCAGTATTCTTCTTTGAGTTATTCTGAGTTCATTTTTCCAAAGCATTAGAAAATACTCTTTATTTCCTTGATTATAAAAAATATCCAGCACACATCTAAAGAAAAATTACCATTAGTCAGGGAAAATATCAAAATCCCTCCTACGAAATAGAAATCTATAAATCTAATGAGTAATAACTTAAAAATTAGGTCAACTGAGAAAATGATTATGACCACAGAGGAAAGCGTGTCTTTCCCGCAGCATAAAGGAAGGGAGGCACTGAGGTTCAGCA